CGTGGCTCGACGGGCGACCACGCTCCTCATGTTCTCTGGGGTGGGGGCGGCCCTTGTTCTACCGAGGCAAACCTGCAGACCCGCGGACATCGCACTAAACCCGCAGTGGCCATCCGGCTTTACGGTATACACACCAGCGCGGTCGGGCAAGACCATAACCCTCCCACCTCTTGTCAATTCTGTGCTGCAAATGATGCGCGACGCAGATCCATCGATGTGCTGCTGTACCCGTTGGCCCAACGCAGCCGGCTGGGGAGCTAGCTCCTGTTCCTTGCGAACGTGATACACAGGAACCCCGTCCATAGCGCTCGTGCGAAAAATCGCAACAAGCAGGAGGAAAAACAGCATCATTATCGCGTTTCTGCGTGCTGGACTGAGGTCCACAGCAGCACAGCAGCAGCGCGGGATGCAGGGTGCTGCGGAGCATTGCAACTCCCAGGCTTTCAATTTTCTGTATAGGGGACGTGCTGTTTCTGTCCCCGGTCGTTACTTTGTTTCTTTTCGAGCGGTCTAGTCGTACCGTCGAGCCGTCGTCGACGCAGGTATCCACAGCTCAATTCGGTTCGAAAGTTGTCGCATATAAGAGTTATCGTGCCTGCTAACATGCCCGATTCGGGGGTGTAGTCACGTAAGGGTTAAAGGCCATGGCCGGCTTCACACTTGTATGCCCAAGGTTCAACGCTCGCGATCAACGTTTTCGCACCCATGCACAGATTCCAAAAGAGGAGCGGAAGGAGAACGTAGCGGACTACTGGCGTCTTCACGGCAACAAACACCCCTTCGCCCTCCGATTGGTCGTGCAGGTGGTGTACGGCGTCCCTGCCTCAGCGGGTGTGGTGGAGCGAGATTTCTGCATCGCGGATATGTTCATGCCCCACAAGCGCGCCTCGCTTGATCCAGCCAACTTGGAGATGCAGCTCTACCTACGAGCGCACTTTGACCGCATCCCCATGGACATCCCCAGGCTGAACGACGCTGCCGTGGCAGCCGCCATCCCGAACCGTTTCACGGACCCACAGGCCGTGAAAGACTTGCAGATCTTGGCGGAGGAGAAGGAGGTGGCGGTTTTCGACTTCGTGCCGGAGGAGGAGGGAGACGACGCCGACGGCGCGGACGCGGACTTGCCCGCTGGCGGAGAAGGGGTGGGGGACAGCTAGACACACTCCACCAGTTTCGTGCTCTAAGCACTTGGTGCAGGGTTTGTTTTTCCTGCGGAAGGCGTAACATTTGTACGCGTGCCGACCTTGTGCTTGCATTTGCTGGTGTTCCGTGTTCCGTTTTAGCATTCTCAACAAACCTGAGCAGCACCTAGGGGTATGAAGGAGCGGGCCTGCCGTCGAATCGGGAGCCTATGCTACAACGTCTGTAGTGATTTGAATTTGAACAAGTCTCGAAAGACGTGGGCCTCGGCAATTTCGTACATGCGTGTCCGGGAACACAATGGGTGGGTCTGTGGTGCGCACACCGGGCTGTGCTTCGTCGCTGCATTTCTTTCTCGAGGTTTTCTGGCGTTGAAATTCACGCTTATAGAAGAGTAGACTTGTATAGCGAATTTCAACGTCAGAAACTTATCGACAACTATTACGCGCGACGATAGGTTTTGGCAGAAACCTATCGCCATCCTTCGAAGGCCGTACACAGGTGTGGGAAATTGCTGCCGCTGCTCATTAAAGTGGACCCAACGAATTGATACGCGAGGGCCCCGACACACCGCCAGCACCAACAGCTATCGATATGCGAGGGCCCGACATATCGCCAGCACCGAAAGCTATCGATATGCGAGGGCCCGACATATCGCCAGCACCGATAGCTATTGATATGTCAGAGCCGAACGTATCGCCATGTCAATCGATGCCAACAGGCCCCGCCCCGATATATCGAGGGCGGCAATAGGTATCGATAATATTAACCGTCCTCTATTGGTCTAAATGATATCCATCGATGTCTTCGCGGGAAACTTACCGCGATGAACGAAACAAGGCGATCGCATAGCTCTCAATCCACTTTGTGTCCACGATAGGCATCGATAGGCGCTTTGAAAATCTTACCTCGTCGAACGATCTATATCGATATGTTTTGAGTGGAAGCATCTTTCCCAGTGATAACTACCGATGGGTAACCCTATTATCTTATCGGGACCACAAATTCCAATTGATCGGACGATGGTTAACCTATCGGTGGGTCGATAAGACCTATCGTCTATCTGATCGTCTGTGGTGTGGTGTACGCACAAAGTCTAAGCGAGCGAGCGGTTCTCTGGCGCTTCCCTCTGCCTTCCTTGAAATGCCTGCTCCAACCGGTACCACGCGACCTCTACCCTCGTGCATCGACTGCCTGCCGTCAAGTCATGGTGCGGCGAGGGGGATCTTATACGCGCAAGTCGTTTGCACTTGTAGTATAATAATTTCTTTTTTTTCCTTGGTCGTCTGACTTGGCCCAAACATCGGGGACATTTACCATCTCCGACATCTCCGACATCTCCGAGCCCTGAAACCCGGGTCCGGAGATCCTATTGTGGTCTGGTGATGAGCCGAGAAGCTCTGACCACAGCCCAGCTTCATCTGGAAGAAATAAGCCCCGCCTGCGCTTTTTTTTTTCTTCGCTTAAATCAGCGCTCACGGCACTTGTTGTGCCGTGTACTCCAACCCGTGGTCACACAGAAGGGATCCTCTCCCTGAGGCCCTCTACCCACTCCTCATGCGCATGGGAATGAAATTACGTTGAAGTGCTGGAAAACGCTGTCCAATGCATACGGTCCAGCAGTGGACGAGCTGCACGTGTTCGTGGTATACTTACCATCACGCGATTTCTTCACGTTCCTCTGGAGATTGACCGAAAATCGTGCAGCAGCTTCAACGAAAAATTAGCTGAAAAACGGCATTCTGCGAAAAGGCGCAGGACACCGTCAGCCGCCACCAAGGCGCGAATCACCAAGAAAACAACTCAACTCAAAACCAAGAAAATTGAACCAAACAAAACAACCCAAACCCGGTCACGTACCTCACGACGCCCATATGGCACACTTTTTATCAACGCATACCAATTACACTACGTCTATCATGATCAGTTCAAAGACATGGCGTATCGCCGGGGAAAAAAACAAATCCTCAAAATATCCGACTTCCGGTGGCTGCGGCGTTGCATGACGCATGGCGCATCTCGTATCAACTGTAACCATGCAAGACCGTCACCTTAGCTACAACATACCACAGACGGGGGGGGCGGGGGGGTATACTCATAGTCGTGCATGCCGTGGTCGTTAGACCATTGACCTCGCATCCCTACAAAGCCGGGACGGAGCACGCCGGGTTCTCACCGGACCAGGCTCTCACATCACCAAGCACGAAGCGCCGTGAGGTATTCGGCGAGTCGCATGAAGGGTCAGCTGCATCCTGCGAAGGGTGTTCGGCATCTTGTGCTTACTTCCTTGCATACGAATGACAGCTGCGTATGACTTAATTTATTTTCTAGTGCTTTCACTTCCAGAGACAATTGTAAGCACTGTGTAACTGCCTCGAAGGGTGCTTGACCATTTTAACACAACGTGGTGCGATCATCCCCCTTGCGCGGAGTGAGGCTTGTCGACCCCGCACAACATGATCTACTCGACCACCATTCATGGTTACCGCAAAAAAAAAAACGGTAACCTGGTTGCCGAGTTCACGAAGTGACTTGGCTTGTTTTACAACGTCGTTGCCAAGCGACGAAAACCCAATCCCGATGGCAAAACATCGTGGGGGGGGGGGGGGGGGGGGGGGGGGGGG